AAGGCTGCTCTGCCCCCTGCTGTGCTCTTTGCTTCAGCGTGAGCTAGGAGGCAGGTTTCAACCCCCCCCCCCCCCCGCGAAAATTTCAACCCCCCCCCGAAAATTTCAACCCCTCCCGAAATTTTTTTCTGGCTACGGCCCTGCTTCCAGTCCCAAGCATTTCGGATAAAGGATACCCAAATCTGTGCCAAGAACACACACACACACACACACAAAGCTATGGAAATTCAATGCATGACCTTGGAGAAGTCCCACTGTCTTAGTCTGAGAGCAGCTCACGCTTTCTCCTTGGTTGCATTTTCTTCATGAAAGAGCACTAAAAAATACTGCAAGACTTTATTGCTTTCAGTGTGAAGAGCATTTGACTACTGAAAGCAAGGCCCATTGGGTGTCCATGCAATATTTGGATTCTTATCCTTTTACATATAAATATGGCTTTCATTTTTTGGATAAACCACAGATCTTCAACCAGGCATAGGGAATGCAAGAAAGCATTGCTTAGTTGTGCTTTCCAACACCAATTTGGACCCACACATAAACAAATACTAAGCTTTGGATGCTTATTTATGCATTTTAATCCGCCTTTGCTCATTATAGGTTAGGGACCAAGGAAGGGATAATATGATACCACAGATGCACTGTGCAAGAAACCCTGAAATTGTGACCTGGAGCACAGTACAAAGCAACATTTTATCTTACTCACTCATTAATAAGCCAAGTTGTATGTAAAGATGTTGCCAGGTTGGTCTGTTTTAGTATGAAATGATACTAAAATGTAGCACCTTTGATACAGATTTTGTAGCATAAGCTTTCATAATAAATAATAATGAATAAACTTTATTTATACCCCGCTACCATCTCCCAGAGGGACTCGGGACAGCTTACAAAGCACTCAAAGGTGCAAACAAATAAAATATAAAAATTGCAGAGACACTAGCATGAAACAATAACAGCCAACATAAATATCTCACTTCACACAAATCCCTGATTAAAATCAGTAAAATACAGCGATTACTGCAGGTATATTTATTTATTTATTTGTTTAAAACTATTTTTTAATTTATTTATTTGTTTATTTAAAACTTTTTATATCCTGATCTTCTCTACCTCCGTAGAGGGTCTCAGACCGGCTAACAGCAAGTATTCAATGCTAGTAGTACAATCTAAAATCAAAATATTCTAACAACAGACATCAACAGTGAATTAAAATACATATAGAGTAAAATACATATAAGCTGATTCGCCATGTTAAAATCGTGTCCAATTCAATCTGCGTCTTGTGGTCCATAACTTTGGTCAATTGCCGGTCTCAACAATAACAATGGTCAATCTCAGTCATAGACTTGGTCTACTTTGTCAGTTGCTCCAGATGCAGAATATTTGGGTTTTCAGTTAGTCTCAAAGGCGCTACAAGAACCCTTTGTGTACTAACCCAGTAGTTGTTTGTGATGGAAAAACACAGCAGCTCTCTCACCTATTCATCAGGTCCACATTCTCCGGTCTTTGCACACTAGAATTTGTTCTGGTTTACTTTCCAAGGTCCATTTTTGCTAGCTTTCAACACAGACTTTGACTCAACTCTCTTCCCACAAAAAAAAAACTCTACAAAGACTAAGGGCTGCCTCCAACTTTAAATTACTTAAGTATCTCCAACAGGTCCCTTCCATACTCTTATTAGTCCAGGGATAGGAGACACACAACCATTCCAATGTAGCTGAACAAAAATCTCCAGCATTGTTCACCACTGGCTAAGGTTGTTGGGAACTGCAGCACAACAAAATGCCGAAGGTAACATCATTACCACTTCCTGCATTAGAGAGTCAATGCTGAAGGATTGCTGTTCCCAAATGCCCTGACCAGTTCCTCCTACCCGAGGATAGAACTGTAGCTCTTCTTCATCCCAGTTGATTACAGATATGTATTCCTATATTTTCAGAGTGACAAGAATAAGTTCCATCCACAGAAGCTCCATCCCCAACATCCCCTTAACTATCGTATTGCTTCAAGTGTATAGGGAGGACTGTCTCCCATTACAAGTCTTGAAATCAGCTGCCAATCCAATCAGCTTTTGTCCATGCTGGGCCTGGCCAACCGTGGCATTCCAGGTGTTTTGGAATTCAGCTTCCATAATTCCTAAAAGCTGGTAAACTGGCTTTCAGGAGTTGCAGGCCCAAACACCTGGAATGTCACAGGTTGACCAGATCCAGCCCATGCCATTAAGGAGATTGCCATCTTTGTCTCAAGCAACAAAGTCTTGACCCAGCCCTGATTGCATCTACAAATATGAGTTCATTCTTAGTAATTATTGGAAGACTAAAGGGGGTCATTTTAATCTTTAATTCAATATGATCGCCACAATGTTAGAAGTGTGCCAACATACAGCACTGAAGAGTCAAGAATGCTCCAAAGTGGGCAGTGGGGTTAGACCAGGCATGGGCAAAATTCAGCCATCCAGGTATTTTCGACTTTAACTCCTACAATTCCAAACAGCTGATAGGCTGTTAGGAATTGTGGGAGTTGAAGTCCAAAACACCTGGAGGGCCAAACTTTCCCCATGCCTGGGTTAAACTGAGTGACTCAAACCATCCTTCCAGCTTGTCTACCTATCTTTACTCCTCTGAAATGTAAATATATACTAGGGTTTTTTTTCCTGCCTCTTCTCTTCCTCTCCAAATTCTCTTTCAATGCTTCCTGAGAATGATGCTAGATTAGATTAGCACTCTGAGTAACTTTCCTATCTTAGAATACAGTTATCATAATAAAGACTTGATTTGCTTTCTCCAAACCACTGGGGCCTTTGCTCTTTCACCAGGATGTCTAAGCACTACCTGCACTCTCTATCACTTTCTCCACACCCCATAAACTGTCCTAATGATTCAAAGTATAGGGAGGACTGTATCCAATTGCAAGAACATAAACAAGGTTCAGCTGGCAGGCCAGTTGGCTTTTGGCCACACCATGGAGAAGAGTACCATCATGTCCTCAGGCATCAAAATGTCTTGGCCCAGCCCTGGTTGCATCTATAAACATGAGCTCATTCTTAGTAATTATTGGAAGGTGGAGTGGAGGCCTTTTAATCTTTAATTCAACATGATCAGTACGGCGCAGGTTTTCAATTCAGATGAGGAACTGGTTGAGGCATGTGCATGTTTTCAGAATATCTGTCAAGCCTCTCATTGGATGAAGCACCACAGATCTTGAGAGCACACCCCTCTTAGCGCTTACAATGCGATGGACTCCAGGAAACCACAATCTCCCCCCTCCCCCCGTTCACAAGGGACTTACTTCTGAGCAAGCACAGCATCAACTAAACTTTGTGCTGCATGCAATCTCTCTCAAGGGAAGCACCTCCCCAAAACCTTAAGCCTTCCTTCGCACTCCCACTGCTTCTTCCTGTGACCACCACCAAGCCCTGTTACCTGCTAAGTCAGTGGTTCTCAACCTTCCTAATGCCACGATCCCTTAATACAGTTCCACATGTTGTGTTGACCCCCAACCATAAAATTATTTTTGTTGCTACTTCACAACTGTAATTGTGCTACTATTATGAATCATAATGTAAATACTTGATATACAGGATGTATTTTCAATCACTGGATGAAATTTGGTACAAATACCCAATACACCCAAATTTGAATACTGGTGGGGTTGGGGGGGATTGATTTTGTCATTTGGGAGTTGTAGTTGCTGGGATTTATAGTTCACCTACAATCAAAGAGCATTCTGCACCAAGTTTGGCACTGAACCAAACTTGGCACACAGAACTCCCATGACCAACAGAAAATACTGGAAGGGTTTGGTGGGCACTGACCTTCAGTTTTGGAGTTGTAGTTCACCTACATCCTGAGAGCATTGTGGACTCAATGTTAGATCTGGACCAAACTTGGGATGAATACTCAATATGCTCAAATGTGAACATTGATAGTGTTTGGGGAAAATAGACCTTGACATTTGGGAGTTGTAGTTGCTGGAATGTATAGTTCACCTACAATCAAAGAGCATTCTGAACCCCACCGATAGAATTGGGCCAAACTTCCCACATCGAACCCCCATAACCAACAGAATATACTGTGTTTTCTGATGGTCTTTGGTGATCCCTCTGACACTCCCCTCGTGACCCGCCCCCCAGGGATCCTGACCCTCAGGTTGAGAAATGCTATTTGCACGTCCCCATCCTGCCCCACTCCTTACTAAAAGAATAGGGAAAGAAGGGTTGCACAGGTGAGAATGAGAGAGGCAGCCTTCCTAGGAACGCAAAAAACTGACTTTTCCTCAGTCATGCTATCAGTCCATCTAACCTTGACTGTCAACAATGACTCTCAAAAGTTCCTACTAAAATTCTTTCCCAGTTCTGCTGTTCCTCAAATGAACCAGGCCTGAAATTCTTTATCTTCTGCGATCTGACAATGTGGTTCAGCATGGTAAGGAGGAAGGTCATCACAGACTTGCGATCAGCTGGCCAAGAAATAGGATGCATTGAAGCAGCATTTCTCAACCTGGGGGTTGGGACCCTTGGGGGGCTGGATGTAGGTGAACTGCAATTCCAAAACCCAAGGTCAATCCCCACCAAACCCTTCCAGTATTTTCTTTTGGTCATGGTAGTTCTGTGTGCCAAGTTTGGTTCAATTCCATTATTGGTGGAGTTCAGAATGCTCTTTGATTGTAGGTTAACTATAAATCCCAGCAACTACAACTCCCAAATGACAAAATCAATGTCTCCCCCAACTTTGCCAGTATTCAAATTTGGGTGTATCGGGTATTTGTGCCAAATTTGGTCCAATGAATAAAAATACAGCCTGCATATCAGATATTTACATTAGCAAAAATTACAGTTATGAAGTAGCAATGTAAATAATTTTATGGTTGGGGTTCACTGCAACATGAGGAAATGTATTAAAGGGTTGTGGCATTAAGAAGGTTGAGAGCCACTGCACTGAAGGAATGCAAGGACTATGCTAAGCAGGAGGAAAGAAGGAGAGGGTGGGATAAAAGGCACTCACCGGGATGTGGACTCGCAACAAGCGCTTCTTCTGGCCGGAGCTTTTCTTGCTGCTGCAGCTGGAAGAGGCATCTTTCTTCTTCTTGGTGTCCATGGCAGTGCTTCCCATTTCTTTAATGCCAGTTCAATCCAAACCCACCAGACCAATTCTGTGATCCAAGGAGGAGCAAATGGAACCTGTCCAGCAAGGTTGTCTTGGATGCAAAACCCTTCTGGGTATCTTTTAAACTGCTGGGTTTTGTTTCTTTTTGCAGAGCCTCAGGTCAACCAGAGGGAAAAAAAGAGGAGAGATGTCAGCAGAAGGTGAAAGTTTGATGAGCACCGCTGAAGTTGGCAAGGAATAGGTTGGTGTAAAGGTGCAAGAAGCTTGTTCCATCCATGGTCTAGAAGGAGGAGTACCAGTCCTGGCAATCTTTGGGACACTGAGGTTGGAGGGAATCCTTTGCTCTGTCAGAAAGAGCCCCAGCTGCTGAGCGATTGGCAAAGTTGCCAGGTGGGCATCTCAGGCTGCCAGAAAGGAGGAAGTCAAAAGGTGCATGGGAGCTAAAAGGAAAAGGCGCATGGGAGGTAAAAGGGAAAGAGGCAGAGAAGGGAATCAATAGTGCAAAGACCTCTCAGCCATGCAGTGCCACTCACTTTCTCTCTCTGGCTTTGGTCAGATGCCCAAGACCATCTCCTTCTCTTGCCAGGCAGGAGCAGGAACTGAGAGCAAAAGAGATGCAATTCTACTTGAAAATCTGGTTTCCTCTTCGTGCTGCAAAACAAGACTCCTAGCCAAGGCGGGTGCTGAAAAAGAGGGAGGAGAAAGAGAGAAAGAGCTCTGGCAGCCTTGGGTCGGGTTCCTCTTTGCAAGGAGACGCTTCTGACAGCTGCTGATCTGCCCAAAAAGGAGGAGGAGGAGGGGGGAGGAAAAGGGAGAGGGAAGGGACTGGAGCAGAGCCAGAGCAGGGTGTGAGTGTGTGGCGTGTTTGTGTGCCTTCGCAATCGAGGAGGAGAGGCGTCTGAACAGGAAGTGCACAATCACGAAAAGCAACTTTCTCTCTCCAAGGCAGGGCGCACGCCCCTTCTCTCCAAAGGAGCCAAGGTCGCCAAGGCTGGCAGGAGGAGGAGGAGGAGGAGGAGGAGGAGGAGGAAGGCCCCTTGGCCAAGGACCTTCTGCTGCCTTCTCCCTGCCTCCTCCACACCTTCCTCTCCCTCTTACTCATCCCTGGGAAGACGAGGAAAGGGAGGAAGGCGAAGGAGGCGCCTTGGAGGCGTGTGCGCATCTCTACTCCAAGGGCGCATCTCTCTCTCCTCTGGAGAATCAAGGCCGTTTGGCACTCTTGGACTACCCATGGCTCAAGGCTATGGAGTCAAGGGAGTTGTAGTTTTAGGCATGGGGCAAACTTGGGCCCTCCCTCCAGGTGTTTTGGACTTCAACTCCCACCATTCCTAACAGCCTACCGGCTGTTAGGAATGGTGGAAATTGAAGTCCAAAACACCTGGAAGGAGGGCCCAAGTTTGCCCATGTTTGGTGTTGAGAGGGAGGAGGAGCGTGGGGCAGAAGGAGGCGTCTCCACCGTGGTTTCCTTTGGCGGGGCGGGGCCCAAACGGAAGACACGTGTTTGCCTGCCTGCGTTACGTGTGAAGGGGGCTCGTTGTGGCAGAGCCGCGCGTTTGGCTCCCCTCGGAGGGAGGTGTCAAGGGTTTTTGCTTGCCCTGCCCCAGGCCTCCATGTTTCCCAAACACGAGAGAGAAACGATCCACCAAGAGGGTTGTTGTAGGTTTTTTCGGGTTATATGGCCATGTTCTAGAGCAGTGGTTCTCAACCTGGGGTCTCCAGATATTTTTGGCCTACAACTCCCAGAAATCCCAGCCAGTTTACCAGCTGTCAGGATTTCTGGGAGTTGAAGGCCAAAAACATCTGGGGACCCCAGGTTGAGAACCACTGCTCTAGAGGCATTCTCTCCTGACGTTTCGCCTGCATCTATAGGAAGCATCCTCAGAGGTAGTGAAGCCTTCGACAATACATTGATCCACTAAGAAATGATCAAATCTTAACTTCAGGGCAGTGGTTCTCAATCTGTGGGTACCCAGGTGTTTTGGCCTACAACTCCCAGAAAGCCCAGCCAGTTTTCCAGCTGTTAGGATTTCTGAAAGTTGAAGGCCAAAACACCTGGGGAGCCACAGGCTGAGAACCACTGCCTTATGGAATCTATTATGGAATCAGTGCAATTTGACAGCCAAATTCAAGGTGCAGGTTATGACCTATAAAGCCCTATCTCCGCAATCGATCGCATCTCCTTCTATAAACCGACATGAACTCTAAGATCTTCCAGGGAGGCCCTCCTTTTGCTCCCACCACTGTCACCGTAATGTTGGTGGGGATGAGAAAGAGGGCCTTTTCGGTGGTGACCCCCGCCTATATATCTGCTTGGATAACCCACATCCATAATCCTTGGATATCTGCTTGGATAACCCACATCCTTGGATAACCCACATCCAAGCAGATTTATGGATTAAGCCAGTGTTTCTCAACCTGGGGGTCAGGACCCCTGAGGGGGTCACGAGGGGGTGTCAGAGGGGTCGCCAGAGACCATCAGAAAACACAGTATTTTCTTTCGGTCATGGGGTCATGTGTGGGAAGTTTGGCCCAATTCTATCATTGGTGGGGTTCAGAATGCCCTTTGATTGTAAGTGAACTATAAATCCCAGCAATTTCAACTCCCAAATGTCAAGATCTTTTCCCCCCAAACTCCACCAGTCTTCACATTTGGGCATATTGATCATTTGTGCCAAATTTGGTCCAGATCCACCATTGTTTGAGTCCACAGTGCTCTCAAGATGTAGGAGAACTACAACTCCTAAACTCAAGGTCAATGCCTGCCAAACCCTTCCAGTATTTTCTGTTCGTCATGGGAGTTCTGTGTTCTAAGGTTGGTTCAATTCCATCGTTGGTGGAGTTCAGAATGCTCTTTGATTGTAGGTGAACTACAAATCCCAGCAGCTACAACTCCCAAGTGAAAAAATCAATCCCCCCTCCAACCCCACCAGTATTCAAATTTGGGCCTATCAAGTATTTGTGCCAAATTTAATCCAATGAATGAAAATCCATCCTGCATATCAGATATTTACATGACGATTCATAATAGTAGCAAAATGACAATTATGAAGTTGGGGGTCACCACCACATGAGGAAGTGCATGAGGGGGTCGCAGCATTCAAAAGGTTGAGAAATACTGGATTAAGCAAAGGTAAATCTACTATTACTATTAATATGATATTATAATTATATATTTTATATTACATGTAATATTACTAATAATATTACACTATAATGGAATAGTACAATATAGTAATATATAATACTAATATTGTGCTATTGTAATAATATAACATATGGTAGTTACCTATTGTAAGCTGCTCGGAGTCCCTTTCGGGGTGAGAAGGGCGGCATATAAATGTCATTCATAAATAAATAAATAAATAAATAAAAGTTTACCCTGACGTTAAGTCCAGTCATGTCCGACTCTGAGGGGTGGTGCTCATCTCCATTTCTAAGCCAAAGAGCTGGTGTTGTCCATAGACACCTCCACGGTCATGTGGCAAGCATGACTACATATAGTGCCGTTACCTTCCCGCCACAGTGGTACCTATTGATCTACTCACATTTGTGTGTTTTTGAACTTCTGGGTTGGCAGAAGCTGGGGCTAACAGTGGGAGCTCACCCCACTCCCCAGATTCGAACCACTAACCTTTCGGTCAGCAAGTTCGGTGGTTTAACCTGCCAGGGGGCCCTAATGTTACCTGCCTTGATATTCTGGGTTAAATGGCTGTGTGGAAGGGCTCTCATATAATACAGTTCAAAACAGATAATCTAGGATCAGATCCTGGGAGATAAGGCAATGTAGATCCAGGCCCCTTCTGCACTGCCATTTAGTCTAGATTATCAAAGTAGATAATCTACATTTTGAACTGGATCATATGAGTCTACACTGCCATATAATCCAGTTAAAAGCAGGTAATCTGGGTTGTATATGGGAGTGTAGAAGTGGCCTCAGTTTGCTTGATCTGTTGCTGCCTGGAGGTCATTCATGCGATTGTGATAAAAGTTATTTTAAAGAAGGAGAGAGAAAAAAACAACTCACATGGTTACATTTTGTGTCCTTTTGTTTTGCTTTTTTGTTTTGCACTTGTCTTTAATTGATTTAAATTGTGGACGTTTAAGCCCGCAGAGCTGCTATTGCAGGCAGTCTTGTTTTTGTGTGCATACTTTCTCCTCCAATCTGGATTATGCAGGTCTGTAGCTGGGAAACTCACTGGGAAGGGTGGAGAATACATTCTAACCCATTAAGTTGTCAAAATCTGTTTGCCTTGTTCCTGTTGAGACAGCATATTTGTTTTGACTAGTCGTCAATGCCACACCGAATGCTGCAGCTAATCAGAAGTCTGGAAAACACACGGCTGTGAAGGTGGCCTCATTTACCCTCCAACATTGCAAACTACAGGAAAGGAGATTCCACCTGAACATGAGGAAGAACTCCCTACTTGTGAGAACTGTTCAGCAGTGGAATTCTCTGCCTCAGAGTGTGGTGGAGGCTCCTTCTTTGGAGGCTTTTAAGCAGATGCTGAATGGCCATCTGTCAGGGGTGCTTTGAATGTGATTTTCCTGCTTCTTGGCAGAAAGGGGTTGGACTGGATGGCCCATGAGGTCTCTTCCAACTCTATAATTCTATGATTTCTGAGATGAAAACCATGACACCTGTGGACAAGCAACATGAGAATAAGTCCCAGGTGGCAAAACATATGAACACACAAACTAGGAGATGCTGCAGCAGTTTGCTTTTGCCTGAACCAACAGGGAAGGACAATATTCTGATATTTCCTGTCCTTTCCCCTTAGTGAATTATTTAAATGCAAACATGAGGTAAAGTAACTGAAGATCTTGGAGTCCTCGTGGACAACAAGTTAAACATGAGCCAACAATGTGATGTGGTGGCAAAAAAAAAGCCAATGGGATTTTGGCCTGCATCAATAGGAGCATAGTGTCTAGATCTATTCTGCCTTGGTTAGACCACACCTGGAATCCTGTGTCCAATTCTGGGCACCACAATTCAAGAGAGCTGGAATGTGTCTAGAGGAGGGCGACTAAAATAAAGGGTCTGGAGAACAAGCCCTATGAGGAGCGGCTTAAGGAGCTGGGCATGTTTAGCTTGAAGAAGAGAAGGCTGAGAGGAGATATGATAGCCATGTATAAATATGTGAGAGGAAGCCACAGGGAGGAGGGAGCAAGCTTGTTTTCTGCTTCCTGGAGACTAGGACGCGGAACAATGGCTTCAAACTACAAGAGAGGAGATTCCATCTGAACATGAGGAAGAACTTCCTGACTGTGAGAGACGTTCAGCAGTGGAACTCTCTGTCCCGGAGTGTGGTGGAGGCTCCTTCTTTGGAAGCTTTTAAACAGAGGCTGGATGGCCATCTGTCAGGGGTGATTTGAATGCAATATTGCTTCTTGGCAGGGGGTTGGACTGGATGGCCCATGAGGTCTCTTCCAACTCTTTGATTCTATGATTCTAAGTCAGGAGAGGAAATTGAGAAAGTGAGAGACATAAACTGGTGCCCTTTCTACACTGCTGTATAATCCAGATTACCTCCTTTAAATTGGATTATATAGCAGTGTAGACTTGTATAATCAAGTTCAAAGCTGATAACCAGATTATTTGCTTTGATTATCTGGATTATATAGCCTTGGATGTTTTAAAAAGCTGCTGAAAAAGTGCGGCAACAGGATTAACTCAGGCCCTATCTACACTGCCATATAAAATCCAGATTATCTGCTTTGAACTGGATTATATGGCAGTCAGGGGCGGCTCAACCCATTACGCAAAGTAAGCATTTGTGGTATAGTTGATTTTGCTTGAGGCACTCTTGAGGGAAAATAGACCTTGACATGTGCAAGTTGTAGTTACTGGGATGTATAGTTCACCTACAAGCAAAGAGCATTCTGAACTCCACCAATGATGGAATTGAACCAAATATGGCACACAGAACTCCCACGACGAACAGATAATATATATCAGTGATTATTTGGGGGGGGGGGCACCAAAATACTGTTTGCTTACCATTGAAAATTACCACTGATGGCAGTGTAAACTCATTTAGGGCCTTTCTACACAGCCACATAATATCAAGGCAGATAATCCACAATATATGCTTTGAACTGGATTATCTGATTATCTGAGTCCACACTGCCATATAATCCAGTTCAATGTGGATTTTATACATCTGTGTGGAAGGGGCCATACTCCAGTTCAAAGCACATAATGTAGATTATTTGCTTTGATAATCTGGATTATATGGCAGTGTAGAAGGGTCCTAAGTGTGCCTCTACGCTG